ACACTTAACTAAAGCGTAGCAGACTCAAGCTTCTACTGAGTGAAAATGAAGTTACAAAACCCTTATCAGAAGAAGACGATTAAATGGAAATACACATACTAAGTCGTAAAAAAAGTGGAGAGAACTCAAATATAACGCAATCTCACCAAAACTGAACTGCACAGCACGTTTTATTCCTGCCCCTCCATTTCCAGAAGATCTATTAGCAGCACATCGTTTAAAATTTTGTACTATACGCGAGTACAACAGAATAAAAAACAAAGAATTAATGAATAACGCCTTGACAACTTCTGTTATAAGAGGTGATTATAGCACAGTTTTTATACACCTGCAGGGCAACAAACAGGAAATATCCTTGTCTTAAACATCAAAGCATGAGAAATATAATAGCGAGGAAAAAAGGAGAATATGACGGAAAATTGCACCAAGTGATAAAGAAAATAACGGCTACTGAATTTATCATATAGCCAATTCTAAAAGTAACGTCATACTTCTAGAATCAAAAAACTCCACAGAAAGACTCAGGGTTCAAAAACCTAAAAACTGAACAGAGATCACTTCAACGTTTTATTACCATGCTGCCTTGACAGAAACACCGCTCCCTCCCCAATAACGCCCATATCCGGACTGTCGTCCCTCATATTCGTCATTGTAAAACTAAAACACATATAACGAAAAAAGGCCCAGAAAAAAAAAACAATAACCCAGGACGAAAAAAGTACTTACCTGTTGCCCACCATGGCCGCCATAACTTCCCCCATATCCACCTCCATAATCATCTGAAATTCCAAAAACATAACCTGAGAATCCAAATAAAATTAATACCAAAAAAAAACCAACGAAGAAATGCTTAGACTGTGAAAAAATTCATAAAACAGTATTAATCGAAAAATCTAACTTGAAATATTTACTAAATTAAACGCACTGAACTAAAAAGTAAAATAAAGTACCGTCAAAAGGAATGTAACCCCCTCGGCTAGATAATGAACCTGGTCGCGGCCCCATACCGCCAAAGCCGCCAGTCCCACCTACACGTCTGAAGGTCAAATGTTTTTGCGTTGGTGGCATATTGGCCCCAGAAAACAACTCAATATACCTAGAAAAAAAGCTTTGATGACATCCGTCCAAACTTCTCAAAGATCTCATTCGGCAAATTCATATACTGTTCAGCTAATATTAAAAACAAACCTTGTACCAATACACTTCTTGTTGCGCGAAAGAGCATCCCTTGCTTCAGCCATAGTCGAAAATATAACAACAGCATCACCAGAAGGCCTTCGATCTTCATTATACCCAAGCTTAATATCGACACAGTTCAGAGGTTTGAAAAAGTCTTCTATGTCTAAAGCATTTGCACTGTATGGCAAACCTGAAAATAAAACACCATGTGAGCTTCTTTGACACCTATGTAACACTTCAACACTAGTTCTAGAGTGATGTGACCTTTAAACCTTTCTTCACTTTGAAAAACATTCAGAAAGTTAAGCAAAGCCTAAAATAGTAGCTGACGATCAATAAAAAAAAATAATTAAACGAGTACTCAGCGCTTCAACATTAGCAGTAAAAATCATAGAATCCCTAACAGAACAAATTACTTGACGCGCAAACAAATTCTTGTAAATTAATGCACCTCTCATAAAAACTCTCGTTGAAGCTTCAAAATCGATATCATCCTCATAACTGCTGCTTCCTAGCCGTCGATACCGATCGTAAGGTACATCGTACGGTGACGGTCTTCCAAAACCACCACGTACAGGAGGACCTCTCATTGGACCTCCGCTGTATCTGGACGACTCACTTTACAAAATAAACAAAAGTTAATCTGATATAAATAGCACAAGTGTTTCAGCACCCTCTACCAAATAAAAGTAGACAGTAGTACAAACAAAAAACTACATACCGTTCGTATCCCCGCGGCCCCATTAATCCTCTGAAAGGTGGCGGATCCCGGGGAAGATAACCACGATTAGCATTCGCTGCCGCATTATTCATTTCATCTGTTGAGCTACGAAACACCTCCACGTACCTAACAAACCAAAGAGAATCATGAAATATGACAAAAAAACTTTTCTCATTGCTAGAAAATCAAACACTGAACAATTTTTGGACTATAATTACAGCGGCCATAGTTCAATTAAGGGTAACTCACTTTTTCCAAAATAAATCAAAATGTAAAGAGGTAGAACGACTTCCTATGCAAATGAATTTTAGAAGTAGACGCTAATTTAAACACAGATTTAGAAATTCAATTTATGCAAAAGTGCACTTCGTACAAAGTGACCTGCTTCTCACCAATCTTCCACCATCTACTGGCACAATAAAGGGACTGCAACTTTATCTGATGGTAAACCTAACCTCCTTCGAACCAAACATAACCATGCAAATTGAATTTTCATGACACCACCAAATTTGCAATAAAAACAAGCGAAACTAAGGGTTTATGCCTGTACCATACCTCGCTCCCATATGATTTTTGTTCCTTTCGAGTGCCAGCTCCGCATGCTGTTTGGTCGCAAACTTCACGAAAGCCTCCCCCGATGGCCGACCCCCCGGCTCCTTGTCGATTACCACGTCCGCCACTTCCAGACCTATATCCCAGCAATGCCGTTACCAACCACCAACAAAACCAAATTACACTAGCCAATCAAATACGCCATCAAGCTACCGCCCGTCCAGTAACACAATAAAAACAACTATTTTAAAAATATTTCAAAAAAAGAAGGAAAAACTAAAACAGACTTAAGTTCGCTTACAACCCCACGGTACCTACAAAAATATATAGTTTATAACGCTTTACCGTAAATGCAACGCAGTTCAGTCACCACTTTAAAATTTACTGACCGTATTACTAACATGAGTCTTGAGAACGAGATCAACAACGTTCTTCAGAACTTAAACTCAATACATGATTTTCCATTTCAAGCCAGCCAGGTAACATAGTTGCAGACACGCAGCTAAGCCCAACCCTACACTTATTCCGACTTGACAGGAAATACCCATGGGAGCAATGAGCAATAAAACCAGTGTATAAAAACTCTGTCTCATACCGTCAAAAAATTCTTTAATATCTTTCGTCGTCGCACTAAATGGTATTCCTCGTAACCGAACTACATAATTTGTCGACATCCCATTCTCGCCACCTTTGAGCACACCATGACGAACCATCCAATTCACCTCTCCTTCGCTCACCGAAAAAACTACAAAACTTTCGGTATTAAAAAAACATTGCACAACAATGACTTTCACTGGGGAGGAAATTTAGACGTCTGCAAACTGGATAATTTGAAGAAAGCTATTAATTCAACAGCAATTACTGCCATAATTTGATAGTATTATCATTTACAAGCCATCTAAACGAAAAAAAAAAGGTTAAAAAACGTCCTATGCAACTTTTAAGTTTATTTCGTAGAAATGCTCCAATAATTTCTTAAGCTGTAAACACTGGAGCCCCATTTTCCTGAACCACAAGAAAAATCATGCTTGCCTTCTCGTACCGGAAAAACCACAAAGTCATTCCTCTTAGTGAAATAAAAGCTAATTATCTTCCTGATTCAGAGAAATGACAATGCTTCTTTCGGCTTCTCAATTAACATTTAACACCATGCAAAAAAATGAAGCAATTCTGACTATTACAGAAACATAATGAGCTTAAATTGTCAGCAGCAATTTAACCACGGAAGTAAATCTTGAAGTAATCTTTTCCTACCCAATACACGCTTAAAAAACAGCAAAAAATAGCCTTCAACAATTGCTTTTGTCCGTTCTGGCAAATAATACTTATTTTCCTTTTCTTATTCAATATCACCAATAAAGTGGCAAAACATCAGAACCTTTTATTGCATTAAAACTCCCTCAATAGCGACAAAACTACAAGTACAAAATTTCAACTAAAACAAAACTGAAAACAAACAAGAACGATATCAAACGAAGAGATCTATCAAGATGTACCTTCTATATAGCGACCACTCATTTCTTTCTTGTCAAACTTTTTAGCTTCATCGACAGATGCAACATCCACCAATTCTACATAACATTCGCCACTGGCACGACCCATAGTAGTGAGCGTAAACGTAACACTCAAGACTTCTAATCCTACAAGAATTGCTCGTCTTCATAAACCGCTTTGGGACAAAAAATCAATTACGTGATTAAAAACTACCGTTCAAAAACTTGCGGACATCATCCTCTTTAGCAGAAAAAGGTAGACCGCGCAAACGAACATAGTTTGACGGCACATTCGCCATTTTGAACTCAAAACTCCAGGATCTAAACGATGTAACATAAAATAACAACATATTGAAATAACGAAACATAAAACATCAAAATCTCTCAGTAAGAGGCTTAGTGTATGTAACAGGAAGACAGAAAATCCAATTTTTCTAAAAGTCAGTACGCAATGCACTCGAATATCAAATAATAATTAATTATTATTCCGTATAGAAACAACAAATTTATCTTTCACTTTCTTAAAATATTGTAGTGCTAACTGTCCATCTCCCAAAAAGACCGATTCCTACTTATTCCTCCTCTTTTCGAAATAGAAAAATCATCTGATAACCTTCTTAATTGACAGCTTTGTCAAATACCTCATTAAAGAAAAGTTATGATGTGTAACAATTTTTTTCTCATCAAATGGCAATTACAGTGTCTCCTGGTACACCAAAACAGAAAAACATTTGGTGACTGAAAATAATCGCAACTTGAGTAGAACCACAGCGCTTTAAATGACACCAAATAAAACTCGTATAACAACATCATGTGCACGAAACTTCACTATGCCATTAAAAAATAAAATTTTTCATGCTACAGCAGAACAGTTTTTGTGGTGACTAAACTTTTTCATTTGCAGCACAAATACATCAACCTCCAACTTTTTATAATTACCAACACTCTTTCGCTGCATATTCTAAAAGCATTTCAAAGCTATTCGCTGAGATACCGAATAGATTAAACCTTTTATCGCCAATGGCATTTTTGACAAACCTTAGATACAAGAAAAAAAGAAAAAAAAAGCGAGGATAAGCATTTTTCAAGATGACAGAGCCATATACAAAAGACTCCAGTAAGCTCGTCGCACAGATGCTTACTGACGACTGTAACCGAGAGGTTAGGGTGGATGACAGTCATCACGTTCCAGCGCATTTTGACTTAAAAAAATTTAGTTGCCCGGAAATTCCTAGCCCCAAGAACTTTAAAAATAGACTGGCTTAAAATGAAGCATGTAATACTTGCGATTGATTTTTGCTAATTTACTTTGGCTTCCGCCAAGAATCAACTGAACAGGAAAAGAAGAATAATTTGTCGTTCCGTTCTATTGAACCTCTCTTGAAAATACCAGTGAAATCAAAAAAGTATTTTTCTTAGCTAAGTAATTTCGAAATTACTAGCCATATCCAATAATGACTGCGCGTAGCACTCCCCATCTAAAAAAGATTCCCATAATCTCCGCAGAACGTGCGCACAATCTTTCTGCAACCACAAGTGAACCAAGTTCCTGACACAAAAATGCTGTACACAGTGGTTATATGTCACTCTCAACCTTTCTTGGTTACTCACCCCTCCAAAACGTTACTAAACCATCACACTATTCAATTCCAAATGCATTTAACTTCCTTCTAATAGTTAACAAAACTTTGCATTGACTGGTGCAATTTATTAGGTACTTAGAACAGTTACCTCAAAACAAAGATGATGACAAATCACGAAGCATTTATGCTGTATTTTAAAAAAAAAAAAAAAAAAAAAAAAAAAAAAAAAA